CCCCCCCTCCCGCCGCCGCGCTGAGTCTGCAGCTCATGACAGCACATATCGCTGCATCCGCGGTTCGCCTTCCGTCGGCGCGCCCCTCGCCGAGGCTCAAGTCGCTCGCACTCGACTCCGACATAAAACTTTACAGTTATGTACAGATCCCGGGGCTTTGCGTTGACGACCGCTTCCCCATGCTCATACCTGCCTAAAGAATGAGGCCACCTGAAAGCGTATGGAAACCCACTCACCACACACACAGTGCACGTATAATTTTTATTATTATTCTGTTTATTTATCTCGCATGTCGTTCTATACTTGGCCGGCTGAGGAGACGGGGACGCGGGCTTGGTGGTCGGTGTGCAGCCCGGTCCTAGGGCGTGCTCGGGGTGCTCGGGGACCTGGTCTGGTTCTGCTGCTGGTACGCGTCCACCACCGAGTCCAGGGCCTGGTGACGCGACACCGCGGCGCGGTTAGGGGTGGTTTGTCCCTACCCCTTGTCCTCAGTGGCCTTGTAGGGGGTGGTGTTGGGCCGCCCCCGCGCGCGATCGGCCCGCTCGGTGTCGCCCTCTGTGGGTGGCGCCGGGACATACGGCTGCTGGAGCCTCAGTATACCTGGACGAGGTCGCGCCGGTCCGTCAGCATCGCGTACTTGGCCACCACGCCGGCGAGGGAGGCGTGCAGCATCTCCAGGGCGCGGACGGGCCGGTCGGCCATCACGCGGACGACGCGGCGGAGCAGGTTGCCGAGGCCGGCGCGGTCGACGTGCACCTCCAGCTCCACCCCTGCGACCGTTTCACCATGACACGTACTGTGATGTGAGCGCGACGATTGTGAGCAGATTGCGGGGATTGTTTCGCTCGACAGCTGCCTCGCGACTGCTCCGCGGCGAGTGACCCCCCTCCTCCTTTTCCAATCCCCCCTTACTGCCATAATAAAGTGAATCCGTGGAGAATCGTGTAGAAGAGCAAAAAAAAACGCACAGACAACCGTAAAATGTATGCAATTTTACAACAACATTGTCCCTCTGCGTCGCACAACTACTTGCCATTCAATTTGGCGGCAATGGCAGCAATAAACGCCAAAAGTGCCCCCCCCCCCCATCTCCCTCGAATCTGAACCTCGGCCCTCTGATCAACATACCCCAAAATCTGAGCTAGACTGCGCCGGCGGAAGGGTGTGTGTTATAGGGCCTATGATAGGCCGACAGAGGCACGGTGGCGGGTGGCAGGGCGGATTGAGGGGGGGGGTAACTTTCAGCGACTATGTCAGCTGAGATCGGCATTTTGCAAACCACAACATCCCCCCTCCTTTCTCCCCAGTCCGGAGCAGAGGCGTGGGCCTTGATGGGCACCGTGTCCGCACGGCAGGGCAGAGGCACCCTGTGTCGCTGTGTGTGCCGTGTGTGCATGTCACAGCGCTCTGCTTACCGTCCACCACCTCCTCCTCGTCCTCGGGGCGGGCCTCACCGCTGGTCTGCTTCCCCGCGTTTTCCTAGAAACACAGACGCGCGGGGACTTGTTTACGACTTGCAGATGGGGATGGGGATGAGGCAGGCGGCAGGCGGCAGGCGAGCGGTGCCGTGGGGCGTGGCATGGCTTGGCGTGGCGTGGCGTGGCGTGGCTTGGCGTGGCGTGGTCGTGCTTCATCGGCGAGCCGGCCAGCAACAAGTTGCACGGCGCAGCCCCATGCGGAGTTGCCACTTCTACTGGCCCAGCCCTAGGTTGAGGCACCGCAGGGTAAGTTGGCCTCGTCGGCCTCCCGCTCCGCCCAGCCACGGCCCGGGGGCAGCGGGGGCCCCGGGGACCACTTTTACGGGCCGTCACCTCTCCCTCCATTGCCTTGTTTATTACCACCCTCTCGCGTTCCTTTCTCTCGAAACAATCATTTCTTTCACGCGACGCAAGAGTTGCTTTTGCTGCGCTCTATGGAGCCAAGCTAAGCAAGATTTTCAATAAAAAACAGTTTGTGTAGGCGGCTCGACTGCGTACGGAGAAACAGAACCCGAGACGGCTCCAAAAATTATGTGCTCTGAACTGAAATAATTTTTACACTTGGCGCAGAATTCAGCATCCAGCACACATCGGCCAGCCGCTCTACATCTTGACCTTCAGACCCTCAGAGAAGTCTTCACGCTAAAGATTAGCTCCTAGTTTTCTAAGGGTGCGCACCTCTTCTGGACGTCTGCTGTCGTTTGCCTGGCAGGGCGACGGCCTGTCCCTGGAGTTCTCGGACCGACCCCGTCGAGAGCGCGACCGCGACCTGGGCATGGATGACGTGTATCATTGCTGTGCCCCCCCCCTTTCCCCGCCTCCTCCGCACTCGTCTGCTCGTCACCTGTGCGACCCCCTGCTGGCCGCCCTCAGGCCGCGGGAGCGCGCCGTCCTCACGCTGGTCGGCCTGCTCGTCCTCCCGCGGGACCGGGACCGCGAGCGGCCCCCGCTGCCAGCGCGCCGAGAGCGCGAGCGCAGGAAGTACGGCCCGCCCCCGCCGTGCACCCCGCCTGCAGCAGGGGGCGAAGGAGTCGCTCACCTCGGCCATTGTTTCGGGCGCACATGCGGATCACATGTTCGTGGAGAGATAGGGACGGACGCTGGGACGCAGCCGGACTCGGCGAAGGCGGGGCCGGTGTCGTTCGCAGGAAGTGGTGAGCCGTACCTGCCATGTTGCTAAGGAGGCGACTGACGCATTCGCGTAGGGGGTCACCGTCATCGTCCTCGCGGACGTCGGCCACCCCGTCGTCGGTGTCATCCTCGTTGGGGTCCATTTCGTCGTCGGCGTCCTGATCCAAGGCCACGCCCTGCGGGTGGTGGTCCGAGTCCGACTCGCTGAGACGCACCGAGCTGGACGAGTTGTCAGAAAGTCCGCCGTCTCGATCTGGAACGGGGTGGGGGAGACCAGAGAGGGCAGGGGGAGTTATTTTTAGACGAAGGCGGCGACAAGTGGCCGTCTGTGTCGCATTTCACCCTTCTTGGAGCGATAGCCGGAGGGCCGCGGCTCCGACTGAAAGAGTCGGCCCCGCGGCCGCTGACTAGGTTGACACCACGAAAGCAGTGCGGCACTCTTGTCAGATCTTATCGGGCAAATATGAACCTGGTGACGTTCGCTGACGTCTTGGGGGGCCGGACGACGACGAACCGGACCCGCCGGTGGACGAGGCTGGTGCAGACGCGGGGGCGGGCGGCGGGGGCGGCGCGAGCGCCCTGCCGAGCAGCAGGGGCTTGAAGTAGGCCTCGCGCTCCTCCGCGGTGGGCGGCGCGGTGACAAACACCTCCCCGCGGGACTCGCCCCACAGCTGCCGCAGCTGAAAACGGCGGCGGGTTGAGGAGCGGTGGCGCGGGGCGGGGCGGGGTGAGGCGGCTCCTGCGCTATCTCAAGAAGTGTCTCACGCCGCTGGGCAGGTCGCGGTACTGGGTGTGCGCGGTGGCGAGCAGCAACAGCGGCGTGCTGCCGTCCAGGCGGCCGGCGAGGGTCAGGAACACGGCGCGCGTCGCCTCGTCGACCAAGTCCCACCAGGACGTCAGATCGGGCAGATAGAGGACGCCGGGCAGGTGCTGGCGCGCCTGCCGCATCCGCTGGGGGGCGGGGCGAGGGCGGGCGCGAGTCAGACACGGGGGTCACTACCGCAGCGCGGCGTCGCGGCGCGCGGACGGCCTTACGTGGATGCAGGCCTCCTCGGTGGCGCGCGCCGAGTGCTCGAACAGGCTGGCGATGTCGATGACGGTGACGGGGAGGTGCTCGAGGTGGTGCAGCAGGGCGGGCGCGAGGTACGGCGTGTGGCCGTGCAGCGCCTCGCCCGCCATGAGCAGCGCGGGGCAGCGGCCAGCCTCCACCTCCCCCAGCCTGATAGCAGAGATATGTGGCGGCGATAGCAGTGTCTGCTCTGCTTTTGCCTGCCGTTACCGGAAAACGTTTCCGAGCTCCAACTGACACGGAGTGTGATCAAGTGCACACCGGTATGCACCAAATTTTAACTTTCAGCAGGCTCCTTACAAGGAGCGGCCTGTCACTACTTGAATGGCAAAGAGCTTTGCCTGAGCTTGGCCGACAACGATTGGAGAGCCCGCCAAGGAAAAGAAGGGGTTGTTGCCGGATGAAAACACGGCAGTACATACACACGCGTCGGTACGGGCCGGTTGGATTGCCAAAACCCCAAAACTGAGTTTGCTTGATCCTTGATTTTTCAAGTGCAGATGTCTTGATTCAATTTAAACATACTTGAAAAGTCAAGTATAAAGTTTTTTGGTGGTGTAATGTACATTGTACTCACTCCCTCCACCCTGTGAGAGAAGCAAACCCGCCCGCAGTCGTTGCATTCTGTCTATGGGAGGCAAGGGTATAAGCCCACCTGCTCGCCAGCTGAGGGAACAAGAAGGCCCTGGGATGTGCCTGGCGCAGCTGCTCCTGGGCGCGGTCAAGCTGGCCCTGCAGCAGGGGGCGGACCTGCGGGGGCAGGCGTTGCACGGGCGAGCAGAGCACCCGCTGCGACGCGGCAACCAGGCGCCCGCGCGCCGCCTGGAAGTCCCGCTCCTCGATCTGCATCGGGGTGATGGATGTGACAGGGGTAGGGATAGGCGACGGGAAAGAGTAGGAACGCGGTAATTGACTGCGGAGCCGTGACGATGACCGCATGGAGAACAATAACCACAACTCGTAGCTATGCGCGCACCATGAGGGTGGAGAGGTTTATCTTGACTTTGTTGTTGCAGGAGTAGATGTCCGGGTAGGCTCGGCGCAGGCCGCACAGCACGGCCTCGGTGCACAGCGCCTGCAGGTCGGAGCCGCAGTAGCCCACCGTGTTCGCGGCCAGCTGCTGGACCAGGCTGTCGGGGGGCCTGCGACGCCAGTGGCGCAGGTGGACGCGGAGGATGTCGACGCGGGCCTGCGGGTGGGCGAACACCAACCACAGCGACGTGAACGGGGGTGGCCGGCGACCTCCACGCGGGAGGCACCTACGGGCTCAGGTCGACCTGGTGCGACGGCAGGGGGAAGAAGAGCTCCTTGTCGAAGCGGCCGGGGCGGCGGAGCGCCGGGTCAATGGCGTCGATACGGTTGGTGGCGCCTATCACGATAACGTCGTGCGCCGAGTCCAGGCCGTCCATGAGGGCCAGCAGCGTCGACACGACGCTGGCGTGGACGATGTCGTGCCGCGAGGAGCGCGTCGGCGCCAGGCCGTCCATCTCGTCGAAGAAGATGATAGACGGCTGCATGATCCTCGCCTGCGCGGGGGAGGGGGTGGCAGTGCAAGAGTCTGCACGCGTGCATTGCGGGACCCACATGCGGAGGGGGGTGGGGATGGGGGGTGTACCTCCTCGAACAGCGCACGCAGTCGCTGCTCGGACTCGCCCACGTATTTGCTGTAGCAGTCGGCGCCTTTGCGGCTGAAGAAGCTCACCCTTCTTTCCCCTTGGCTGCACTCGCTGGCCAAGGCCCCCGCCACCAACGTTTTACCAGTGCCTGAAGTGGAGACATGCCATGTTTCGAAACAAGCGAAACCAGACGCAGAGTCATTTTCTTTTGCACAGGCAGAAAATCAAAATGCCAAAAGGTGGAATGTGTTCCCGTCACCTGGGGGGCCGTAGAACAGCACCCCCCTGGGGGGCTTCATGTGAAACCGCGCGTACAGCTCCTTGTACATGAGCGGGAATAGGACGAGCTCCTTGAGGCATCGGATGTGCTCCTCCAGGCCGCCGACGCTCTCGAAGCCCGGGCGGCGCGCGCCCTGCGTGTGGCTCGGTGGCCTCCCGGGGTGGCCAGGACTGCCGCCGCCCCCCGCCCCCGGGTGCACCCCCGGCC